TCAGCCAGGCTCAGCACTTGGACATGACTCGGCTACCGTTTGTCCTCACGACTAAACCTCCAACCAGTCAGACCACGAGCACTCTTACTTTCCCATCCGGTTACCAGATATCTCTCGCACCTTTTCCTCCGAGTGTGGGTCACGGTGGTCCTCCACTTCAGACCTTACAGAACCCTCCACCAAGTGAAGTGGTTGGCTCAGTCCCTTTTTCTCAGCAGGAACCCACCTTGGTCTTGCCACCAGGCTATCCTCCAAGTCTTGCTAACTTGGCCTGCTGCCCTCTCCCTCCAATGTATCCAGGAGCCAGCTCATGTGCCGGACTTCAGCTGCACCCGGTCAACCTTCACCCCTGGAACCCTTACCCCTGCCCGCCTCCCTTGCAAGACCCTCCAGCACCTCCCCTCCCGACCAAAACTCATCAGATTCTAGAGAAGCCCATCCTCTCGCCACCTCCTCCTTCTGGTCCACCCCCACCCCCTCCTCTCCCCCCTCCTCCTCCACCTACTGAGCTACCACCATCCAAAAGTTCCACAGAGGATCTAGCTGAGTCCGCCAACAACTTTCTAGAGCCATCGTCTCTGAATGACAGCCCTGTGCCACAGGAGTCAGAGCGCTTCAACAAGAAGAGCCGCAAAAGACTGGACAGCCGAGCTGAGGAAGCCAACATGACCACCGTCTCTGAGGGCAAATCTAGAAAGGAAGGACGCGCGCTGTCTGACTTCAACACTCTCATGTCCAGCCCAAGGCTTGGCAGCAGAGAGAAGAAGAAGCCCAAGGGGCAGAGGGAGCAACTCAATAAAACCAAGAAGATGAGCAGGACCACGAATGAATTCCAGGACAGCTCGGAGAGTGAGCCGGAGCTGTTCATCAGCGGCGATGAGCTCATGAACCAGAACCAGAGCAGTAAGAAGAGCTGGAAGAACAAGCGCAGCCTGCGCATGGCGAGTGAGCTGGAGGAGATAAAGTGCCGCAAGGCAAATGAAAGAGAGGACCGTAGTTTGGGAAGCCAAGGATTCGTCTATGTTATGGCCAATAAACAACCATTGTGGAATGAAGCCACCCAGGTCTACCAGCTCGATTTTGGAGGACGAGTCACACAGGAGTCGGCAAAGAACTTTCAAATTGAGCTGGACGGTAGACAGGTAATGCTCAAGAATTCATATTTTAAATCATTAGTGAATTGCTGTTTTTGTTGACATTACCGTCATTTAGCAGACGCTTTTATCCAAAGTAACTTACAATGCAGATTCTATCACATTCATACACAGTAGGCACAGCTACGAGAGCAATTTTGGGGTTAAGTATCTTGCTCAAGGACACATCGCATGCGACTATTGCAACTATTTTTTTCTCACTTTTTTATCAAAAATGGCAAATATTATCTGGTTTCAGCTTTTCTTTTTATTATTTGAAAGTATTCTAACGTTTCAGAATGAAAAGCATGTTTTGCATTTCTTTTTACATTTTAGTAAAAAAAAAGGAAAATCATTGGTAGTAACAATAATGGTTAGTTGCAGTCATAGATGATATGTTGATTAATTCATGCTTCCTGTTTTATGTCTTTCTTAGGTGATGCAGTTTGGGCGAATTGATGGGAATGGTTATGTCTTGGATTTCCAGTATCCTTTCTCAGCAGTGCAGGCATTTGCTGTTGCCTTAGCCAACGTGACTCAAAGGCTGAAATGAAAAGGTTTCGTGTTGTTGTAGACTAATTGAAAAGAAGCCACAATGGCCGAGCACCCCAATGTGTGGGGATAAAGCTGGGAAAGTGTCAATGTTGTGGTGATTCTTTTGAATATACAAGACGGTCTTGCACACGCAGACGATTTACAATCCGTCTGTTCAAGACAATATCAGTATAGGTCAGTGGGGATGGAGACTACACCAGTTATTCCATCATTTCTAGTTCATATGCTGAATGTACTCAAGCTAATTTTATTTATTATTCAGATGTTATATAGTGAAGTAAAAAAAGATCAACCTTCCCTGGATAATCAAAAGGTTAGTAAGGTACATGTTGGAATGGATTTTAAAAGCAGTGTGGAGGTTTAGTGCCGCATGTGGTGCCAAAGACATCTTAACTCTCTTAAAATTGTGGCTAATTTAATGTATTTCAAATTAATGAATATTTTATTTGTGTTTGTGATGTTTATAAAAAATATACACAGCAAATACCTTCATCCATATTTACAATGGCTGTCAAAATTGCAAATACATTCTCACCAAGCCATACCATATGTGCACTATTTTAGGTCAGTTTTAAGTAATTCAGTAAATATATTATACGATTTTATTATAAATATCAAACTGATTGTTTTATCCCCCAATACCTTTATTTGTATATTTATTCTTCATGCAAATCCCATTTGTTTAAGACAATGATTTGATTTTTAATCTTTAGTTTTTTTTATAAATTATTTTCAAATTGCTGAACATGCAATAGAAGAATATATTGATTCTGTAACTGCAACATGAAGAGTTGACCGCAGTTCATCATAGTTTGTATATTTTCTATTCATGATACTTCTATGAAGTAGTGCAATTAACATAGTTAAACATTGTTCAGTCAGACGCCGTTATGATCTGACAATGTATTCGTAATTTTTTATAGTCAATTTACACATTCCTTTTAATTTCCAAAACCCCCCACCGTCTACATTTTTGAGTAATGGTCTACAGTAAGTTTATGGGTGCCAAATAGTCAAAATGCATTTGGCTTAAAGTAAGTTAGTGGGGAATACGGTAGAAAATGTTTTTATCCCCACTAACGGAAATGTGCATAAGCGCTGAGATCCTCTCCGAGAATCTCAAACTTGGTTGGCTCTGTGTTGTTTTCATTGGGTGTTTATGATGCTGCTACATCGGCAGTTTGCCTTGTTGGAAACCAGTGCTGCTTTAGATATATAGAGCTTGTGTGCAATAACGCTACTTACATAGAACTGATGTTGTACTGGCAAAAGAAAATACAATGCTGCTTGCACCGTGTATTTAGTAAATGACTTAACATTATTATATGCTTAGAAAATTGTGCTTATATGTTGCTAATTTCAGTAATTTTGCACCTTTGCTTTAACATGGTAACAAGAGTTTATTTGATGTTCAACTTAGAAAAAAAGAACGAGAACAATTAACTTGCAAAGGTAATAATTACAACTTATTCACAAGTTGTTAAGATTAACTGTCAGTAGGAGTGAGATTTCATGTAGATTTGGTGCTAATGTATAAAGAAACAAATGTGGAAAGGGAATTGTGTTATTTGCTAAAACAAGGTTGTTGTGACATTTGTCATTTGCTTAAAGAAGGTTATTTTAAAGTATATGAAGAATGTATCTTGAGAGAGGCTACAGAGAGTTTTCATTTTAAGAGCTTTTCATTTATTGCAGCTTCAGAGATTTCAGCGACAGTGTGTGTCAGTTATCAGCAATACTGCCTAATGAATAGATGGTTGCCTGAATTTTATTTCTCTTATTTTGTGAAGGAAACAAATATGATGCGACCATAGGTTTACATGGACCTATCGGCAGGCCAAAGTGTAATAAAAATACATGGTTCCAAATTTGTTGTTTTGTGTCATTTACAGTTTGGCTCTTTCACTCTCTGATGCAAAGTTGGTGACACAACACAGGCTTCCTCCTTCGGTCCCTTTGATTTTTAGTTATGAGGGAATCGATAGAAGTACTGTGGTTCTGCAAAGAAAGTGGCAGATTTATTAAGATGTATTATTTATCATGTTCTATATGTGTGTGTGTGTGTGTATGTATCTATCTATGTATGTATGCGTGTATGTATTATTATTATTTAGGAATCTATGGATAAATTGTAAAATTATTCATAGTACATTCATTTTTTTGTGTAGTTAAAATGAAATGCTAATTTAGTCATATCAATACATTGTTATATATATTTTTATACTATATTTATATTTTGTTCTTTCATGTAAAAATATACTGTACCTCTGTAATTATTGCTATTGTGGTAGTTATGGTTGTTGGTATGACATAAAAACTCCTGTAGCGATTGATAATTATTATTTCAAAAGGATATAATTGTAATAGAAACCCTTTGCCCTCAGTATAAGGGTCATTTTATTATTATTTATACTTTTTTGGTTCCGTGATGTTATGTTCATAACTTTATGCTACACATTGTTTTGTTTTTTTATACATTTCATATGTAAAAAAACATATAAAATACAAAACAAACATACATTTATCCAAGCAATTAACTAAACAAACCTATAAATTAACATAGTAAATCCTTAAAGTAGTGTGTATTTTGTGTTGATTTAATTGTTAAATATGTACATTAATTAGTGATTAATCTGAGAAACCGCATATGGTATACAAACTAAAATGTGGAGCGATTAAAAGAAAGCATAGTTATTAATTTTAAGTCTTAACTCTTCATTAAGTGGTGCCGGCAGCTGGCTACCGGGGCTTTTATTTTGTTGAGTGCTTCCGGTTTCATCTGAAGTTTCAGTTAACTTCATTGAGAAAATACCTCGCGCTGCCTCAAGAGTGTGGTTCATTGTCGCTGAACAAACAACCGGGAGCTGAGTGACTGTTTGCTGTTGGTGTTTTCAGGTTCCCTCTGTGTGTCGTTATGTCACCGTCTGTATTTCTGTGCTGAATAATTGGATATAAGAAAACCTGAACATTTAGAAATGGACCCGGAAGTCGAGCTCCAGCAAGCAGGTTGGTGACTTTTAGTAAAGTCTAATAGTTTTTTTTGCTGTGTTTTGAATCCGCTGAACTAACTTCTAACGTTAACATTATCTAATCTCCTTATCCAATTGTTTTTTTTACTGTTCCGTTACTTTTATTAATTTATGTTTTTTCTGTTCACAACAGCTGAAACTCCAGCTGAAACAACAGGTCCTCCTCCGAGGATGACAAGACAGCAGATTCTCACCTTAATATCAATGGCATCTGTCAACTTTAGCTCCATGATCTGCTACTCAATATTAGGCCCATTTTTCCCCAATGAGGTAATCCAAAAGTATTCCACGTGATAGTGTACAAATAGCATGAGTTTAGGGGTTTGAGGAGCACTTATGGCATTTTTTATTAAAAGTTGTATTAGCTTTTGAAAGTAGACATAATAAATTATTCCTCTTTTGAATGAAAAGTTAATTCATAAGCAATAAAAAACCTCTTTAGTTAATTCAACAAACTGGTGGCTGATGTTAGCAAACTTTACATGACTATTTCTGTGTATCTGACACTACTGTGTCAGATTTTAAACATGCAGTAGTGACTCTTACACTCTTACACTATGTTTTAGCATCAAGTTTTTGAGGTGTCGTTTTTAGGGACTTAAGTGAATATTAGCCTTTAAAGCTCACTGGCTCATTCAATCACAGGCCCTGACAAGTAAACAAATAAAACTAATTTAAGCATTACAGTAGCCGCTGCTCAGCAAAGTTACATACGTTAGCTTTAATAGTTAATAAATGAGTTTGCTTAGTTTTCAAAATCAATTATTTGGCATTATTAAGAACTAATTTTGGGTTGCCAGGTTGAGAAAATCCCATTAGCTGGTGTTTAAACCTTCTATTTGGTAATAATTCCAACTATTGTTCTTCCAGTATTTCTGCAGCCCTTTTACAACCCTTTTTAAAGGGTGCCCAGCCAGAAAGTGGGCATTTTACTGCATTGATTTGTAACAAGCATTATCATTTTAATGTCTTGTTTAATGTGCACTTAAGTCTGTCATCAGTGACGTAAACAACCAAACAGGACCACTGTAAAAAAAAAAAAAAAAAGTAAAGACACAACAGCAAGGCTGTGTGTCTTGAAAAAGCATCGGTAATACGTGTAGTGTGCTTTACCCAAATAAAAGAGCATATAACGCATATTATACTTTAAATCCTGGTTATTTGCATAACATCTGCACAGGCCTCACATTTAATAACAGAAATGTTAAGCAGAGAATGTCCAGTCTATTACTAGCTCAGACTAATAAAATAATACAGGACATAACCTTTGGGCTGTTGTGGTGACTCAAGATAGAATACATAATATTTATATATCTTTGAAACAAACTGTAAAAAGTGGTAACATTATTCTTGTTTTTTTTTAGCTGGTAAAGGATGTGAAACATCAGCTGTGAACCATAATCAGGGCTCCATTGTTTGTATCCAATAATTCGTTCGGCGCTACAAACGGATGCTGTTCTTAGTCTGATGAATAGCGTCGGTGGTCGTGTCTTCTGAGTGGAATGAATGAAAGTGATCATGTGCTGGACAGACGTCCCTCCCTGCAGGCCAGTGAATAAGTAAGCTCAGCTGACAACATGAGTAATAACTGAAGCAAGGGTTAGGGCGCAGTGGAGTATTAAATATGATAAGGTGTGATAAGGCATTAATGCATTATTTTTAGTCATCTGCTCCTCTATCAATATGTAATCCATGCATTGACCATTTGTGTTATTAACTTTACATCACACGTCCATATTTATGTTACTTATGGTGTGAAATAAGACCAGTAGATACCTAACATGTATGTTTCCACACAGGCAGTGAAGAAGGGAGCCAGTCAAACTGTCATCGGCCTCATATTTGGCTGCTACGCTGTCTGCAATTTAATTGGCTCATTGATCATGGGGAGATATGTAAGTGCATATGGCTTATTTCTCATCAGTATGTGAAGTGTGGATTGCTGTTATTCACAGTAATTCACTCTCTCTTTGTCGTCCTATCAGATTGTCCAGATTGGTGCAAAGTTCATGCTTGTGGCGGGTCTTTTTGTGTCTTCAGGCTGCACCATCGTGTTCGGGTAAGTGTTGCTCCGTTGGTGACGATATATTATGATATCTACAGTGCCCAGCTGTTTTAGGAAATTATTTAGCCTTTTTAAAAAGGGGAAACTAAATATTTGTGACCCGTTTTCACAGAGAGAGCCGGCCATACGGCACAATATTGTACTGACAATGTGCATCGCTTCATTATTGTTTTTCTCCACTTTATTTGAATGTGGCTGCATGCACATTTAGATTCTAGTCAGTCTGCATTTGTTCCAGTGTTTCTATCTTGAGTCCTGTTTGACACAAGTTTGTTTCTTGCAGGTTACTCAACCGTGTTCCCGCAGGAGCCGCTTTCATAAGTCTCTGCTTTATCGTGAGGTCGATAGACGCCTTCGGCTTCGCCGCAGCTATGACATCCACTTTTGCCATGACAGGCAAAATATTTCCAAACAATGTGGCAACTGTTTTGGTGAGAGCAGACAACTGTTGTGCTTCTGGCATGTTGTTTAGACATTAGAATCACGGGAAAAAAAAGAAAAGAAAAAGGCATTGTGGTTGGGGTTGTTTTGTAACTGCCGTTTCTCCCAGTGTCATGGAAAATAATAACTATCTTCTGGCACGTGTAGTAAAAGATTTTATCCTGACAGATTGCTGCAATTCTCTCTGTTTAGGGTAGTTTGGAGGTTTTCACAGGACTTGGTCTTATTCTGGGGCCACCCCTCGGAGGGTTGCTCTACCAGTCATTCGGATACGAAGTCCCTTTTCTGCTTCTCGGATGTTTACTACTGATTATGGTCCCTTTCAACATATACGTCTTGCCAAGCATCGGTAGTAGTTTCATCATATTACGTATGTCATTTCTATAAATTAGTTGGGGTTTTTTTTTCCGGATTGTAACTGCGAGCTGTACTTTGTGCTTCTGTCCAAACAGAAGCAGAACCCTCGAAGGATTCCTTCTTTTTGCTTCTCACCAAAGGGAAAATCATCCTGATCTGCTATGTGATATTCACTCTCAGCGCAGGCCTGGGCTTCTTGGATGCCACGTTGTCCCTGTTTGCCATGGAGAAGGTAATATCCTTACTTCTGATGTAAGTCAACTTACTGTAGGAAGAACGTTTGTTGTGCTTCCTGTGAATAAGTTTTCCCTCTCTGTTATACCAGTTTAACCTCTCAGCGGGCTACGTGGGACTCATCCTTCTTGGTCTGTCGTTGCCCTACTGCCTGACATCCCCGCTGTTTGGGTATATTACTGATAAATATCCTGTGAGTATGAAGGCAAATGTGGATCATTCTTCCAGAATTGTAAGTTCTACATGTTGAACTAAATCCCTTGCGTGTGTGTGCGCGTGTGTGTGTGTGTGTGCGTGCGTGTGTGTGTGTGTGTGTGTGTTTGTTTTCAGTCCACCAGGCGTTGGTTCATGGTGTCAGGAGGTACCGCCACAGCATTTGGTTTCTTTATGCTTGGCCCCGTCCCTTTCCTTCACATCCAGAGGTGAGTGTGTGCTAAAGATGGAAAGTAACAGAGACCCTCTCCTTTAAAAGAATAGCCCCACATTTGTTTTTAAATAGGCTTATTCTATTCTATTTATTATTATCTGTCCATTTAATATGGAGTTACAGCCAGCAGCCTGCTAGCTTAGCTTAGCATAAAGACTGGAAACAAGGGGAAACAGCTAGCCTGGCTCTGAGGGGAGGTCACAAAACCTGCACCGGCAAATTGATAGGTCATGCTGTTCAGTGTGTTTTAAAGCGCTTATCGAGAACACAAACATGATAGAAGGACTTGAGTCTTTACATTGAGCATTCATCCACTGCGATTTTGCTACTTTTACTTGAGTTGAGTACTTCCTCACCACCAGCAGTACTCAGTAGGTGAGATGTTGTCTCAAAACTATAATTCCTTTAGGTTAACAGTACTAACGTTATATTATATTCTGTTTCTTTGCTTGTGTGTGTAGTCAGCTGTGGTTGGTGGTCTTTATGCTCTGTGTAATTGGGTTTTCTCTGGGCATGACTGCAATCCCTACGTTCCCTGAGATCATCACATGTGCATAGTGAGTGGCTTCACATGTTGTGCTGCTATGAACATAAATATACCTTTTTATTTACTATGTACAGTATATAATGCATAATGAAACGCATCCTTCTTTGCAGTGAACAAGGATATGATGAGGGGCTAAGCACTCTTGGAATGGTGTCTGGACTTTTTGGGGCATTTTGGTCCTTGGGGTAAGTTTCTACCGACATCCAAAAGCCCTTTTCAGTAGCTTGAATATAGAAAAACAAAACAAATGAACATTAAATCAATTCTCTCACTGGTTGGTACTTATTTTCTGCCCTTTGATTTTTTTAAAAGGATGTTTTATGGCCCAGTAGTGGGTGGCCTTATCACGCAGCATCTGAACTTTGAGTGGGCAGCTGCAGTCCAAGGAGGCGTGGCGTTATTGGGTGTAAGTATCAGTTCCTGCAGTGTTTTGTGTGCATGACGGGTCCATGTGAGAAAACGACACATGAAGCAGGAGAGAATTGCCAGAACCGTCTCACTCGCTGGCATATGAACATTCGCATTGTCCTCTTGTCATTTGAAAGATTCCAGTTTACACTTTACGACCATATCATCAGGAGTAAATCATTAGTCACTCATGCACACAATGGTCACTCGGGCGGTTTTCAAGCCTGTTAGAATGTTGTCGGTGTGACAGAGACTGCATGAGACTGGGAGAATTGCCACTTTACTTGCATGATATTTATGCGAGGATGGAGAAAAAAAATGTTATCAAACACACCACAAAGATCTGATGGAGAAACAAGCGCACGATTCTCTTTTCTTAAGTTACACGATTGAAACTAAATGACCACTCTCTCTTTAGGCCTTTCTCATTGCTGTGTATTACCTGTGTCATCCTCAACAACAACGACAAAGGTAATCAATAACCTCGTATAAAGCGGATCAGATTCATGCCAGATATTTAGATTAACTGTATACTACATGGAAGGCTATTTAGACTTATTATTTGTGCACTTTCCTTAAACGTACTCGGTGTAACACTCACATTTATGTTTGAATTGAAGCGTTCGAAAAGACAGTCGACCGACCGATGAAAGCTCTCCTCTCCTGACTGAATGAAGCCCTCAGCCACATGTGGAAGGACGCCATACCGAACCAACTGCCATCTCAATGCGTCAGCCTCCAACTTACTAAGTGGTTTTTAATGTTTTGTAAATGATACATTTTTGGTGTTGCAGAGATTGTAATGCTTTTGTATGGGTCATGGAAAACTATTAAAAACAAGCCTAAAAACAAAGCGGTACTTTAGTGTATTTCAGATTTTACACGAGAATTTAAATAAATGATTTAATATTGTGCATGATGATACATGAATGTTGTATGAATGAAAGTAGTCAACCCCTGGAAAGTCCATACTAACTGTGCCTTTTGGTCTGAAGTTCAGCTGTTATCACATGACCTGGATTTCATGTCGAAGTTACGCAAGCCGAGAGCTGCTGACCACATTCATGACAATGACGCGAGCATGTTATATAATCTGTATTATTTAGGTCATAGTGAACCTCGGTATAATTCAACAGGGAGCATCGTGTCACATTCACTGCAGTTGGTGATTTTGTATGTTGTGCCTTCTTTTCTGACTGAACAATTTTACAATTTTTGCACTGATTGTAAATAAAAACAGTAAATATGTGAAAGAAAAACAGACACCTGTGTGTTTATCCACTCTATCCATACTATGTCTGTGCACGCCATGCAAGTGGCATGTTTAAGTTATTCTGAACTAACATCATGTACTGCATAGCCTGCTTATATTTTATTTCACAGAAAAAATAGTTACCCAGTTGTCCACTGAAACATAGCCGATATTCTAAAATAATAGTGTCGCACAAAAAAAAAAAATCGATATCTTCTTGCTAGTAGCATTTTAAAATGAAAAGATATTAACGTGTAAAAAAAGTAGAATATAAAACAATGACATGCTATAGCTTACAATTCAACTTGACTGACTCAAACTAGTCTTTAAAAAAATAGCAACAAGCAGAATAATTAGTATCCTGTTTGCATTGTTTCACAGGTACATTCCAAAAATGTGACGCATACATAATCAAAACAGCCCTGAGGCATATTTATTTAAATATTTTAGATATCAAAAGTGTGACTTCACATGTGATGAAACATTTGGAAAGGAGTAATCTGTATTTTTATATAGTTGTGTAGAAGCGGCGTATAAAAACGTTAAACTCTTACAGGATAAGAAAATAAAACTACAATATTACAGACGTTCTGTTTTCTATATCTTCAGTAAAAATGTACACATGCTCATGACAATAAATATGTAACACATACGACAAGAAGTCCTAGAATTATTTACGTGAACACATCTTTACATTTTCATTTAGTACAACGCAGAACATACTGACTCATATAGTTCACATAATCAAATGTAAAAATACATCAAATAGAGTGACGGTGAAAGCGTTGTTGCGAGTTGAAAGCAGCGATGTGTCTGTGAGTTTATGTATCGGGCTCGAAGGCTCCATTAGTCCGGCCGGTCGGCCTCTTTGGGAGAGGCCTGTCTGTTGCTCTGCCTCTCCTCCTCCTGGTGCTCGTCGACACCGGAGCGTCTGCATCTGAAAACGTGGCTCGGGACGAAGGTGCAGCGACTCCTGACTTTTTCACCTTCTTTTTCCTTCTAGCTCTGCGGAAAAAAAAACATCATTCACAATCATAAATTATTTCTAAAACCATAACAAAACATGTCGGTTATAAAACCCGCTTTGCCTTGTTAGGGAAAAGCAACACTTAAAATCCCAACGCAGTGTTCAGTAACCGTGACCCTTGTGAATGATTTAAGCACAGCGAGCCACTCACCTGGCATCGGTCAACTCTGGTTCGGTGTCAGAGAGGGTCGGCTCAGAGAGAAACCTAAGTTCCCCGGAAGAACTAATTGCAGCAGATACCTTTGAAAAGTAATCAGGAGGAAACTTAAAATGATAGGAAAAGCCATCGCACCAAGCAGATATATAGATCAGTGTGCATTCTTTTAAGTCAACTTTAAAATCCCCAAAGTCTTTTAACAGAATACTTCAGCCCAAAAAAGTTTGAACAAGAGTGTGTGATGGTCAAAAGAAAGTATCACAGAAACATAGGCAACATAGACACGAGAGAGAAGACAAGAAATGTATTCGCAGCCACACCCTGTTTCACCTTTTAGCCAATTCTAATTACTGATGAATAAAAGGTATGATTGTAATCCAGGACATCCACACACTGTTAGTCTGTCTGCTTACCCTGGTTGGTGTCGCCCTCTCAACAGTCCCTTCAGACAAGGCTGCGTGTGCCTCAACAGACTGAGTCACCTCTTCATTGAAATCGCCTACGATATAAAAGAACTCAGCATCTGGCACCACATGTGGAAGTTTAGTATACATTGTCCACTTGGACAAGTGATGATTCACTTACTCTGATCTGCGACATAAGAAGCTAGAAAATATCCCTGCTGCCCATTGGCCAGACGCCCGAACCACCAGTTGTCGTTGTCTTTGTACAGCACTTGGATGACGTCACCGCGGCGTACGGTGAGTTCATCGGACCGATTAGCTCTGTAGTCGTGGAGCGAGACGACCTGGAAGAGCAGCACAAAGGTGGAGGGCTGGAGTGTGAGAGGGGAAAGGTTACATGCAACTGAGCTCGCAGCTACAGCGGATACTTACGACTTGTTGAACGGGGACAGGATCTGTTTCCACATGGATGCCTGAAGAGATGTGGTCAGGATGGCTCTGATGGAGAAAAATAATTTAAATCCTGACGAAGCAACAAAGGATATTAGCAGATAGCAGAAGTTGCCTAATCAGTGCAGCAACTTCCATGTGGTTCAGATTCAGCTGACAAAGTAAAAGACACATCAACAAATGTACATTTTGTTGACTCGCTATAATCAAAACAACAGCAAAAGATGGCGTTTGGTGATCATGGGAGTCTTCACCACCATTGTCCTCACTGCAGTCAGCTTCTCCCAGTTAGTATTCCTTTAGTATCGATCAGGAAGCTGAATGATCCGCAGAGGACTCCTCCTCTCGTGAACAAACGAACTTGGGGGTTTAAAACTGGTCTTAATCCGATCATTTAAGATCCAGACTAAAAACCTTCATCAGGTTTAAATATATAGTTAAAAACAAACAAGATCTAAAAAGTGTATCCTAAAAATGTGGCTTGAAACTGGATAGAATTGTAATCTATGACAGCTTGTGTCAGACGACCACAGCGCTGACGGATGGGCAGAGGGGATATTCAGCCACTGACAGGCGAACAAATGAAACGCACCGGTACCTTGATTAAAATGACAGATTTGAGATAATGTAAGTGCACAAACTCATCAAAATCTATAACATAGGTTTTTCGTTTTTTAAGACATTCAATTGAGGAAAAGTTACTTATTATGTAACAGCCTTACCGTCTGCAGCCTGAGAGACGAAGCTCCTCTTAGACGATGACCGACTGGACTGAAACCGCCTGAAATTCCAAGAAAAAAAACTAAAAGCAGGCAAAAAATATAGAACAGAATTCTGTGATTGTCTACAGAGATCACTTACGGACACAAGTGAAAACCACAAGCGGCCCATCTTTGTCTCTGTGTATGGTGTACATGCTTCAGGAGACTTAATAGTGGACCGTAATAGTGGAAGTACTTTGGTCACAGCAGGCTTTACTTCATGCAGCTATAATCTTGGAAAGTATTTGACCTCACATATCACAGAGCGGCAGTAAAAGTCATTCATTGGTTTGAGAGCAAATAACTGTGTGATTAACTGTGCAAGCCTTACTCACGATTTTGGGTGCTCAGAGCCGCCTGGGGGATAAGCTGCTCCGCTAGAGAAGCGGAGAGCTGCAGCTGAGCGTGCGGCGACAGGAGGGACGGAGGAGGTAACGAAGCACTTAATCCCGTCTGCAAAGAAAAGGCTGCACTTCAGTTGTCTGGCAATTTGTTTCAGGCCTCCTAATGCATTTTAAAGTCACGATTAAGTTAAAACTTCAGGAGTTTAATATGACATCAAATTCAGTACATAATGGCAGCCAGCAGGTTGACAAACTGCCCAGTAGAAATGCAATGCACTTCTGTAATGCTGTGCTAATCACAATTTGAGTTTATCAATAAAAATACTCTCGAGACACATTTCTGTGGAATGTTTCCTTTCTCAGCACTTGAGAGGAAACCTGAGAACAAGCTGGTTCAGACAGAGATTAGGTTACATCACCATATACGTATGACCCCAATAAAGACCGAGTATACAAAGGTGTGTTTACAAAGTAAATACTGATCAAACACTCACAGTGCCAGAATCGATGGTGAAGCTCCTCCCCATGTGAGTAATGCTCACTCTGTCTGAAAACCAAACACAACAAAAGCAGAATATTTTCCCACGTAAATACAGAGACGGGTCAATTGAGACGTAATGCAGCACACCTTGTTCATCATAAAACTGTGTACAAACAACACATACAGTACCTTGTTCATAAATGTATCCAGAGGTTGAAGACCTCTGATGTGGCTCCTAAAAAAAAGATTTGAAAAAGTGAGTTTTGGAGATTTTGAATTGCTGTATTTCTATATGTACTTATATCTAAGTAATAGAAGATGAGTATTTACAAGTACTGAATCCAGTTGCTCTTTAACACATTGCATTTTCAATGCAAGTCGTGTTGCTTGGGCAAACTGATCCATGGTTGAAGCAACAGATGTGTCCTGTAACGCCGGGGGGTCGGGTGCGTTTCTGATGGTTCTGGCGTCTGTAGAAGCTGATCTGCTCGCAGCTTTCATATTGTGCACCTCCAGCTGGGAAACTGTGTGATGAAGGATGACATCGTTTGTATTTTTAATACCTGTCCTGTATGTAAGCACAGTGGATGAGAGATTCAGGGGCTACATCCACAGGAAAAGGCACTTGTCAGGTGTTTTCACAAACCTTTGCGGTCGTACAGGTACAGGCGGACAGGCTGGCTCTGACCGAAGGCACTGAAAGCAACCATGTTTTCGTGAGGGTGGAAGGACACGCCGTGGAGAGCAGTGGGGTACAAAAGCTCAGAGTAGACTGCAACTTGGTCCCCTGAAAAGACAGAAGAGATGACAGCTGGAGCCACTGTGCATAACACTATCAAAACTGGCAGAAAATAAACACCATAATCTCACCTGTGTCTGTATTCCAGACATACGCCATCCCATCCTCGCTGCCAGAGAAGATGAAGCTCCCACATGGCGTGAATGTGCTATAAATCCTCTCTCTGTAGTTTGTGGCTCCGGTGTACTTCTTCACAGCCAGGCTGAAAGGGCAGATACATTGTTGAAAAGATGGAACATTTATATTTTAAGCTTGAACAAAGAATGTATGTTTTTTGGACTGTAACAACAACTATTCTGGGCAACACAATACTGTATGTTTCATACATGTTTGATGATACATTCCTCTCCTACCTGTAATTATTTAGAAATACAAACACCAAGACTTAAGTGATACATCATCTTATTTAGTCTGTATTTTAGTCAGAGGTCACCGTTTCCTGTAATTACAGATGGTGCTTTTTAAGTTAAGTCTTATCTTATTTACATTCTCAAGTCCATCACCCTCAGGACACTGTCTTTGGCGTGGATGAGCAGGCACCGCCCGTTCGGATGGAGCTGCAGCATGTTGATGGGGACACCCCTGAGATCACTCTCATCAATTTTCTGCCAAGACAAAACATGCAGAGTTTCTTAAAGTA